TTTGTAAACAAAGGTTTATTTACAAGTTACCACAACTGTCAAAATCGGCAAAACCAAAGTAGCGGTACCACTGACGGCGCCACCTTTGTTCGCTGCACCGTGATGAAAAGGCATTGAAGAGTGGCAACAGTGTAGTAAGCAACACTGAGGGCTCCAGTAATCGACAAAATTCTGCGTATACAGACTGCGTTTAAGTATACGTTCTGCGTTCTCGACTAATTTCAGCTATAAGCTGAAATTAGTCAAGAGCGTAAACCTACCGGTACGTAAACCCGAGTCAGCTGACACGATCTGTCTTACCAAAGCGCCATGTAAATGAAAACTCAGCACCGCAGAATTTTTCTGTAGTTGTAGCCCGTAGCGCAGAAATCTGCGGAATTTAGATTTTTCCGTGTCAGCTGATTTCTCCTTCTTTAGATGGTTGCCACTTCGTCAGTTTTACTGATGGTAAAAAAGATATAAGTTCCTACTCAAAATATGTTTAAAATATTTGAAATTTACTATTGAATAAGGTTTTTGCTGTAAACTAAGTAGTTTATATCTAGCTAAAATCTATTATAGCACGAAAAATTGTAGTTGAAAGGGTAAGTTTATGAAAAGGCATTGATGAGAGGCAACAGTGTAGTAAGCAACACTGAGGGCTCCAGTAATCGACAAAATTCTGCGTATACAGACTGCGTTTAAGTATACGTTCCGCGTTCTCGACTAATTTCAGCTATAGATATAAAATAAAAACACTCTCACCTTTTCACTTACTCTCTAGTGAAATACAAAACTTTGACAATCGCAACTGATGAAACAACACCACCTTATATGAATACGCCTTGGTATAAATACAAGCCAGTGACGCGAACAAAAAAATTTGCCGCCGCATGATTCAATAATAGAAACGGGGAAAAAATTATATAAAATGAAAAGAGATGGAATATGGAGAGGAAGGAGGCAGGAAGAGATGTCGAGACGTTTAGTATTTATTGGCAAGATGAGGCATTAGTTTGTCCTTAAAACGATTTGTTACTTGGCGTACAGTTTAGTTTGACAAAAAAAAAACAGTATACGTTTATAGTTACTTTCAAAATTGTTATATAACTTATGCAATCTGTATAATTCACTTTGAAATTCTATGCTTAATCGATTGACAATATCCAAAATATTTGACAAAAAAAATTTACTTTCATTGGTGCGGAATACATTTTCGACCATAGCTCGCGCTTGGTTCGCGCCGTCATCGAAACAGGATATGAAAAATAATTGCGACGCGCTCCACTGGGATAGTAATGTAGTAATCAACAGCTTGCTTCAGCGATAACCAGCGAACGTTTGACACTCGATTAATTTTATGATTTTAGCACCAACGTAGTTTTGAAACTCGACAAATTCAACCCTTTTAGCACTATATGCGAAGAAATTTTAAACATCTCTGCTAGTCTTTCGATTTATACGGGAATTTTTTATACGATGGCTAAAGTATTACAATTTAAAAAGAAGTGTCCTCCAAAATTCATTGAAAAGCGTACCACTCTTGATCCACTTGGATCAAAACGGTCTCACTGGCCCGTTTACAGAAAAAATCGAATATTTATACATCGCGTGGAAAATTTTCGATACATCGAAGCAAAACATCGATATTTTCGAAGCATCGATGGTTTTTCAAAATACCTAATGGTAACTGTAATTGGTTATTTAAACAAGAAGAAGAACTGATTAACTCTGATCCTGAAGATTTGTGTTTTTGTTTTATTGAAAAAAAAGCATTAATATTCCTGCAAAAAAAGCTAAAAAAAAATTTGTTATGGCATCTATAGTGCAGGACCGCCTGCCGCTGAATCGAATGCCTTTAGATAAGTGGACAACGAGGGAGCAGCTTTGTTTGGCATCTGCGGTTTCTTGCAGTGGTGATCAGAATTGGATGTCGGTAAGTCGCAATCTGAAAGCCGTGTGTGCAAATGAAACCAACTCTCGTCCTGACGACTGGTTCTCACATAAAAATTGTGCGCTTCAATATGGCGATTTGTTGGAAAATGTCGAAACGCCTAAGCGCAAAAAGCGGACAAGCGAGAGTGGGAGTGGAGTTTCTTCGCCAACTACTGTGGCGACTCCAACTGACACCATATTGCGACGTCTAAATGAAGAACGCATTCAAGAGTTAAAAGCGGAGATACGCAAGGAGCAGGAAGAATTCGCACAAATTTACAGGGAACTTAAATCTTTGCAATCGGGAAACCTCAACGAGGACCAGTTACTTAAGATGTGGATCGGCATTGAAAAACAACAAGAAGAAAAACGAATTGAAGAAATGAAATTAGAGAATATAATGCGTGAAAGAGAACAACAACGGTTAGAGATGCAACGCAATTGGCGCACTTTAACTCCAGCTCCAACGCCTATAGAATCACCAACTCAGACCAGCAACACTGATACGTCATATGTGGATATGGATGTGGAAGAGGTATTCGGTGAGCCGAACCCTCAACATGGAGCTATAGTAGACTCTAATCAACTGCCGCCAAAAATGTCGGCCAACCAACCAGCTACATCACCTTTACTATCTTCTCTGTTAAAGACACCTTCAACTACCAATATCGCAGCGGCCTTATTAGCCCCTAATAATCCTACCGGTACATCGAACAACTCTGCAAGATCATCTGCGCCAACAATAACTACTCTATTAACATCTGGCTCTATTCCAAATAAAAACCAACCCGCTATTACATTAAAAGCAAATATACCTCCGCAGAAAGCTGCACAGATACTATCAAGTCCGATTAGCGGACCACCGGCAATAACTTGTTTGCCTGCTGCAAATAGTGCAGCACAAAATTTATTAAGCCCTTCACAGGCTGCTCCGACTCTGTCCATGTTACTAGAAAAAAATAAAGTATCGTCAAATGCAATGGCAAATATTGAAGATCGTAATGATGCATTTACAAAAAAAGCTGTCGATGCTACAATGCAGTCCCAATTAGAGGAAATCCCAAAAGAAGCATTCAATGACAACAAGGGTGAAATTCCCATGGATCTTGACGAAGATATTGTTACACATATTTCTGAAACTAGCGTAAATATAATGAGCATAAATGACTCTGATGAACCTGACCCTAACGAAGAACAACAATTACTGGAGGTTTTTAAGAACATTGGAAACATTGATGAATTAGATATAGACGTAGCGGCTGTTATAGATGATGAGGAGGTGGATTTTCTCAAAGATATGGGTGCTGATTCACCAAATGAGAACACGAACGTTGATTTTGATCGTAAAGATGAGTCTGATATTGTACCAACGAAAGAAGAAAATGTTAAAGAAAATAATGGAAAGGAAGTTGTTATTAACCTTGAAGAGACTGATAAACCTTCCCCTGATTTAGCTATACTAAACAAAGCGGAGGAGCCAAATACGACTGCAACCAGTGGAGATAATAAACTCCGAAAAATAGACATAACTTCTAGCGACGACTCAAATGACAATATACCATTAGCAGCCGTTGCTTCTCTTGAGCAAAAGACAGCACATGACAAAGTCATTTCAAAGGAAAGCACAGATACAACGGTAGAAAACGTTGATTTCGAAAAAAGCAAAACTCAAGAAGAGCAGACGCCCAACACATTCTTAAATTCATTCGAAGAAGATAAAGAACATGACAAGTTAGAGAAGCAACTAGCTGACTTAGTGGGGGAAAACGATATAGATGAAACGAAAAACTTAGACGAAGTAGGAAATTCACCAGGAAGTGAAAATTCAGATGTAATAGTTATTCCCGAGGATGACTCTAGTGGATATAAAGCAGGGCATATGAAGGAGAAGTTAACAGTGGATGCAGAAGCAGCGAAAATCAAACGAGATTTGGAGTCGGATGTGGGCACTGCAGGTAGTTCAATACAGATTAGGAAATTTATTATCATTGAGCTTTATAATGCGTTGTTCATTAACAATTTTTGCTTCTAGAAGTCTGTAAGGACGCCCGTGGACATGACGTGGAAAGCTCAGGAGTGGATGATGCTATTAACAGCACAAACCAAGATGCGATTGTAAAAATTACACCTACTATTTCAATCGCCGATACGGATGATGACTCGTCGACCACAGATATTAGTATCGTCACAAGAAAGGAGGATAAATCAGGAAATAATAATAGTTCAATCAAACATAGTGCACCACAAGCGCGTAAAGGCTTACATGAAACGATTCGGCAAGACCAACAAAGTAAAACTGACGATGAATCTACCACACAACTCTCTTCATCTTCATCATCATCTGTTAATCTGGCGCGTCCGCCGCTTTTACGAAAACTACGTGATCGAGATCGCTCTGAAAGTCCTATGATAGACGGTGATCCACACACACCACACACTGTCATAGACAATTTAAACAGCCAACGGTTACGACGACGTTATTCCTCGACGCCCATCAGCGAGAGCATTCCCAATTCACCTGTCTCAAGCGATCGTGAACGGGATGAATTAGAAACTCGCGTTTCTAAAAAATCACTCCTAGGTATTTTTCATGCGCTTCAGTACAGCAAAAATGCCAGTAACCTGCAGCGGGCATTTCACGAAGATTTTAAATTTGATGATATCTGTCTGCGACCAATGGATATGCTTTCGATTAGAAAACATATTGAAACTGGGAACATAAGCAATGTGAGTGAATTGCAGCGCGACATTATGTTAATGTGTCAGAATGGATTGATGTTATTTAAGCGCAACACTACGGGCTACAACGCTGCCAATGCGTTCATGCAAGAATGTCAAGCTATTAGAGAATTTGTTGGAATTGCATGTAGCACTGAACATGGTGTGCAAGTTAAGGAAAACAAGGAAGTCACCAAATCACAAAACATAACCTTAACAAGTACGAAATCTCGAAGTAGCTCGAGAAAGAGCCAACGCATCTCATAAGATTGATTTGAAAATTTAAATTAAAAAAAAAATAATACTACTACAATAATACATACTACTTTTTTCTAATAAAATAATAATATATTAGTTTTAATCTGTAATTATGTATAGGTTATGCAAATTCATGTCGTACGTTTGCTGCAAGAGCGTCATTATCCAAAAATAAACCAGAACTCGAGAAAAGTGACCTTATAGTTTAAAGTTTACATAGATTTCCATGGTAGAAATGAAGATACATCTCCCTCTAATGCGTTATTGTAACTCAGTGCAGCCATGCAATACAACATAGAAAAAGAGATGGTGGATATTTCTGTATACTTAACTAAAAAAAATGTTTTGTTTTTTAATTATGATACTATTTCAGCAAAGGTACGATATATACAAATCCTCGTTATTCTAAAAACTTTGTTACTAAATATCTTAAAATGTTAGTAAGAAGTTTTGTAAACGTCGGGCTCTCGAGCTAAAGCACACTGCTCTACGTCTGGGACATCTGAATCGCCGTAAACAGCGAGATAATTGAATATCACATTCACATAGCCGTGCGGCACATGAGCCCGGTCCACCGAATTCACCATGATCAATAGCACATAGGGGTTTTCGACGATAGCACTTCCAAACATATGGAACAAAATACTCCAAATACGCCACGCAATTACTAAATTCGTAGCATTTGTCGTGTAACTTACAGCAGCGATCGACATCATCAGTTGGTATGCCTGCTCCCGAGAAGCCACAATAACAGCCATAACCTTTGTAAATAAGAGGTTGACAGCCCGTTGAACATTGGATCATAGAGTACAGTGTAAGTAAATCGCGTTTTGATCGATCGGTGGAATTCCTGTTAAAAAAAATAAGTTTATTATCTCATGGTAAACAAATAAAGAAAATTTTGTAAACTTTTGGCATCGAAATATTTTTCTCTAACCAACACTTTTTTCGACACTGCGTTTTTTCACGGATTTCGGAAGGATATATTCTGCCTGAAAAAAAAATCACACGAAAATTTTTCATCCGCTCATAGTAAAACCCTGCAAACCAAGAGTGAAAAGTTAACCGACTCGGGGGAAAATGAAACTCATGATAAGGCTCATTAAAATACACCTTCACTAAAAATTTTAAAGTGTTAGTATTAAAAGCAACGGAGTTACATGCGACTTTTTAAAAAGCCGTACCTATTTTTGATATTATTTTTATAATGTTTTTTGCTTCTCCCGTAAAATAAAAAAAATTGTTATTTAGGGACTTTGTGAATTATCTTGCATTAGTTTGCATGTATCTGTGCCGTTTTTTTTTATAAAGTAGTCTAAGTCAAAACTGGGTTTTTAATTATAGTGTTAGTTTATAAAGTACACCCCTTTGATCTGTCTTTTCCTTGTTTTAATAGATACATAACTCTGACAAAGTAATAAGACTTTGAAAAATATCTTAACTCGAATGGATAAATGTCTTTTCAATAATATTGTTATGGATAGCATTGTATGAGAAATTATTTTATTAAAAGAACTTAATTAAAGTTATTTGAGTACTGAAACATCATAATATGATAAGTAAATATTATTTATTTGCGTTTTCAATGTATTAAAAAATTATAATTTCACTAAGGATTTTGTTTTTTGTTAAGCTTAGCTAATTTGTTTCAATATTTTTGGTAAAAAAGCCTAAATGGAATTCATTTTCTTTCCGACCGAATTCGTTTCAACAAAAGCGCTTAAGTAACAAAATTGTGTTTTTGGCCGCCAACGATTTTCTAATATTTCCTGATTTATTAAAACACTGTGGAACAATTTCAGGTTAGCAAAAGTTAGGTCGATTCTGAGAGTGAGGGGTGAAAATAGAGGCTAAATTATTAGACAAATTTCAGCGAACAGGTACAGAGGAAAGAAATCTCCAGATGCAATACTCGCTGAAATTTGTTGGTGGTATAAAAACACCTTTGAAGAAGAGGAAGACGAGGAAAAAGAGGAAGAAGGGGAAGACAAAGATGAAATTCCAGAATATCCGTTGGACGAAATGATCGACCTTTCTGATGATGATGACGATGACCAAGATATTAGAGAGAGCAGTGCTGTTGATCCACAGCCGCCTGCTAAACGGCAACTGGCTAAATCATTAATATGATTTATTAAATTTTTTTACTTAAAACTTTTCATAACTAACATTTCCAGATTATATTTTTTCCATATTTTTATAATTTCTTTTTCAAACCAACACTGAAAAAATTGGTACATAAGAAATGAGAAGTAAATTAATATTAAGCTGGAAAACGCAAGTTTTGTATTATGATTGTTTTCTTTTCAAATGAAATTTATTGAAGAAACTGAGAAACATATTATAGATCAAACAGAAAGCAAAAAAGACTTAGTTTTGTGGAAAATATGTTCAAAAAGCGTGAAAAAAAAATTCCAACATTTTGCTTCATAAGCACTCCAAAAATTTTCTAACCCAATTTTTTTTTTAATTTCAATTGTTGCACAGGTCTCTAGCAATAATTTGGCTTTAACAGATTGAAAAAATATCAATCAGTCGACGAGTTATAGCCAAAAAACCATATAAACAATATGCTGAAAATCGGCATTTGACTGCAAAGTTCGAAGGTCGATTAAAAAAAAATTCGAACTAACATAAACAAACGCCGCGATACGGGTCTTCTAACTTAAGCTTAGTATCTAGCTCTTAAGAAAAGCAAAAACTCCATATAAAATGACGTACAAGAAATGGCTAAGAAATTTTCTTGAGTCAAATTTCCTTAAGGCAGTACGCAGTTCTTCAGAAATTTAGTACGCTTTCTACTACGGTTTTCTAAAGTTTTTTGTGAAAAAAGAGCACAAGGCAACCCAGGTTTGCAACAGAAATATATGCCCGTTCCATTATTTCTTGAGGAAAGAGTGAGGCAACAGGCTGTGCGTTATCAAAAATGTCAAAATTCCTTGGACACACACGCGAAATAATGGCAATTTTTTCTTGACCGTTTTCTTAAGAGCTGGATACTAAGCTTTAGCCTCTATTTTCACCCCTCACTCTCAGAATCGACATAACTTTTGCTAACCTGAATTTGGTCCACAGTGAAATTTTAGTTAGGCTACTTTAATTGACCGGCACCGATATATGTAAAACACGTAATATTTTGCTCCTAAGCAATAATTAAACTTATATCTAATCACAGCCATAAGTTATGAAGATACCATAGTACTGTCAAAGGATTGTTGTTTCTCTAATCACTAGCTTAGAGTGGAAGTTGCTACGTCCAATTTTTCTACAAAATGAAGTTTTCCTTAAGACCTAAATAAAACGGTATTCACATGAGGCAACTTTAAGTCAAAGCAACGATCGCATGGTGTGAACGGCAATGAGGTCATAGTTGTTTCCAATGAAGTTGGAATATAGCCAACTTCTAGGCATACCGCCCCCGGACACAGACGTGACGGAGCTTCATCTGCCTCGGGAGACAAGAACGACACTAGCACAACTTCGCTCCGGCTACTGCAGTAGGTTAAACTCCTACCTGAGTAGATTGAATGAGGATGTGCCAAATGAGTGTCCGGCGTGCGGAGAGACCCCACATGACTCGAAACATCTTCTCGCATGACCTTGTCCTTGTGGACCAACCCCACAGAAGCTGCACGCTTCCTGGGGCTGCCGTTAGTGGAACTTGACGACAACGACTGAGATACCAACCGTCCTGGGCGGGGTTGTTGTAGCCACTACAACAACATAGCCAACTTTTGATTCAACTATTTAACATCCAAAATATACGCTAGGTTCGTAGCTGGTGGAATTCAGTGATAGCATTTTCGTAGATTTTACTAAAAACTGGACTACGATGCACAGTGGTTCAAAATTATCATTTTGGGTATGCAGATTTATAGATACAAAATTAAGTTTTACTGTAATAAGATGCAAGTTGCAAGTAACTAAGAGTTCGAGTTGATTTTTTATAATATAAAATAATAATATAACAATGTAGTATGCAGACGTGTCCGAAATGTTAGCTAAAAGAATTAATAACGCAACCTCTTGGCCACTTGCAAATCGCACTTTATTGTGCCAAAATTTAATTTTTTTCGTTTTGGGGCAACAGGAGAACCGATTTTCTTCAAAATTATTACGTTTTACTAACAAAATTTAGTACAAAGAAACAATAATTAAAAAATCGGGCACAACTGATCTCTTGCAAATTTTATTAGGTTTCATTAAAAAAATGTATGAAATTTAATGAAAAATGAAGGCTTCAGTGAATTGTGAACACAAAATGCCACTGAGCGATGGATTCAGTTTATAAGCTCTAGTGTGATTTGTGTAGTCATAAATGGGCGGTGTCACGTCCATTTTCCAAAAATGTGTGATGATCTCATTTACTGCTAAGATGTTATTGCAAACATCGATTTTGAGTGAAGCTTCGGTAGTATTTCTGTAAATTACCGTTATATGGGTGGTGGACGTAGTTATTGTCCAATTTCTAGAATTTTCTTAGTTTCACTTAGTTTTACACTTGGTGAAGCGGTTACTGAGATAAAGCATTTCTTAATAAGTGGGCGGTACCACGCCCATTTTCCATAAATTTCATAATTATTTTATTTTATGCCCAACAATTCTACATCACATTCCAACTTTCAACAATTTGGATCGAGCATTTACGGAAATAACGCAGTTTTTGCATTTTTCGAAAATACCGTTATATGGGAGGTGGGCGTACTTACGTTAAAATATCTACATTTTTGCTCGACCTATCATGTACACGGACAGACGGACGGATGGACAGACATGGCTTAATCGATTTCTCCCTTAATTCTGAGAATTTTGGTATTTAACGGATGGTCCGTATAGTGTTTTTTTATTTGTATGTTATTTTGTCAGTGATAGCTTGTTCCCGCTTGACAGAAAATCAGTATCATATCTCGGCGGAACGAAATTAATAGTTTTGCGCTTGGGAAATGTTGGGAGATAATGCAAACGAATTGGACATCGGTTTTGCTGGAAAAATTATCTTTTCAGACGAAGCCCATTTTCATCTCGGTGGATCTTTTACAACCAAAACTGCCGCATCTTGGTACCGAAAAACCCGCACGTGATCGTCGAAACGCCAACGCATCCTCATTTTTCTTTGAAAATACTCCTGGAGACGCCATTTCGGTCAAATGTGAGCGTGATAAACGATATTTTGTGTCCGGTCAAGACATGAATGGACCTGTACGCCCTTTGGTCTCAGCAGAATGGCATGCCTTGCCACACATCACTTGCCACAATCGATTTTTGTCGCACCAAGTTCGGTAATCGTGTTATCAGCCGTCTCGGCGATGTCAAATGGCCACCTTGGAACTGCGATTTGACGCCGTTATCGACATTGTCGGTCTGAAACAAAGGCACGTTACCACAGTATTTTTCAGTTTAGAAAAAAAAGCTAAAGAGGTTGCCGTAGCGGGGAGTGAAGATAAGACAAAGTACCTCCTGGCAACATATAAAAAGTCCAAACGTTTCGGGCACACGTCTCTCTTGGAAGCTATACCTTTGAAGTAGTGAAGGACTTTGTCTACCTAGGATCCAGCATAAACACCATCTATGAGGTCAGTCTGGAGATCAAGAGAAGAATGACTCTTACCAACAGATGCTACTTTGGGCTCGGTAGGCAATTGAAAAGCAGAGACCTCTCTCGATGAACAGAAATTACGCTCTATAAGTCTTTCATCATGCCGTTCCCAAAGAAGATGGAATTACGAACTGTAAGAGCTTTTTAACGACATGCAATTAGTTATGCGATTGCGCTGTCTTGGACATGTTTTACGAATGGATGACGACGCTCTGGTGAAAAGATCCGCACCAACGGGTGGACAACAGAAGCAAGGGCGCCCTCGAACAAAATGGAAGGACCAAAAACAGGAGGACCTGTCTGCACTCGGGATGAGCAACTGGCGCAAATTCTCATTGGAGAGAGGCAATTGGATAAGCTTTTTGATCTCGGCACAGACCCACAAAAGGTTGTAGTGTCAAATAAGGAGAAGAAGACTTTTTTGGGAAGCCAGCCGAGGCAGCGACATGAATGAAATCGCGTACCACAAACAATGCGAATGTTTTCTCTTTCGAGTCAACTGAAAAAAAAGATTTTTGTTAATTTTTTTAAGAAACCACTAGATACATGTATGACCCTTTACATATTTTTTTCAAGATATTGAGGACCTGGAATAAGAAAACTTAGCTTAACTCAATCGCTGCACTGATAAAGTGAGCTTAAGCTCCACAGTTCCTTTGAAATTTTAGTTGGAGCTGTCTTTTTATCTCATGTCGACTACAAACCGACAAAAATAGCAACATCCATTTATGTATGTACATAAATCTCTGAAATAAACTTCCGTCAACAGCCATGAAGCAACAAACGCCTATATGATGTCCTTATCTGCATACCTCTATTTTACTAGCGTAATACCGCAGGTTAAACGACATCTTTAAGTCTTTTTGATTATAACTCATAGAAAAGCAATGATTGCCCACTACAGACATGTGGAACCTTTCACATAACCAAAATTCAACGACATCTTTAAGTATTTTTGAATATAACTCATAGAAAAGCAATGATTGCCCACTACAGACATGTGGAACCTTTCACATAACCAAAATTCACCTTTGCTCCCACTTTACTGAGGTACCGAATGGATCATTAACGCGTGCAATATAAATATTTCCGTCATCATCAATATTCCCTGCATATCCTGTTTCATTCTCTAAATCCATAAGAATATCACTGGCCGGATATTTATCATTTGCATGGTACGCAACATTCACTGGTGCAATTGCGCCAGACCAACCATCCAATCCCAACGAACCCCACGCATTTGTAGGCGGCAATACACTGTCTTTAGATATATTCTCATCAATATTATCGCTGTGGACTGTCGCTGATGAACGTTTTTTATGTAATTGCGCACGCATGTACTCAATTGTTAGATTGGGAAAAACTGGATCCACAAGATCAGTACGTTGCATCATCCACATTGAATAACCGTTTTTGACATTAGCGTCGGGTAATTCGAAAATAAAGGCAAATTTTGATTGTTTCATGACCGGCTCGTACATTTGTGGTATCATACGATTTACAAGATTCGTATTATTTGTAACGGTTTTAAAAGCATTTCGAATATCACTGAGAATTAAATCGGTGGTTGTTCGTGTACTCGATTTAAAATCACCACTCTGAGATGTACAGCTTTGAGTGAATAACACTAAAAAACTTAGGATATACTTTTTTGGTTTCATTATCTTATATACATATATGTATGTGTGTATGCACTCGTATATGCAGTACTAATGAAAATACTTGATTCACTTTTCTACAAATCTGCGACCTTAAATTTTGTGAGCGTTTAGCTCTTTGCAGGTATACCGTTAAAATAAAGTTGTGAAAAGCAACTATACGATCGCATTGGTACCCCAAAGCGGAATAAGTTTAAAATTTGAAAAAACTACTACTACAATATTAGGATTATAAAACAATCCGTTTATGTGTGCCCATACTAAATATTAGGGTGTTCGATTATTTTCCTTTTTTTCCCCAAACCGGTTTTCGAGTTATTCGAAAAGTTGTAATTTGAAAAAAACTAGTTCCCGATTTTGAAATTAAGAAATCCGTATAATATATATATGATATATTGATATATTCGAAAAGTTGCAATTTGAAAAAAACCCGGTTCCCGTTTTTGAAATTAAGAAGATTTTGAATTTAAATAGTTTTCATACAGAGAAAATGCTTATGTTGGTATGAAGTCGACCACAAATTACAATAAAACTATAACAGTAAAGAAAAAGGCAAAGCAAAATAAGTTCAAATTTATTTTAGATCAAAAGTAAAACGACTAAAAATCAGTTAAAAATTCACGTTTGGTTTTATTTCAACTTCTTAACTTCTTTCGGATTTAAGTAGTGCTCTTTCCGCCGCAACCGAGTGCTTAGATGTGCCTATTGCCACTCGGGATGTCCATGGTTAAGTTTCTCGTCCCAGCAACATCAAAAAAAAAAATTGTTTTCAAATAGCGGTCGCCCCTTGGCATACAATGGCAAACCTCCGAGTATACATCTGCCATAAAAAAGCGGAGGTGGAGTAAAGGTGTAGATCTCTCCACTTGTGTCATAACATCAGGAAGCAGAACACGAATTCAGGATAAGCTCGTGGTTAAGTAGGAAACGTTTAAGTGCCAACATTCATTTATTGGAATCAAATATGATATACTGTTTGTCGCTAAATAAATTAGGACATAATTTCAAAACTATTTAGTGAAAGAAAAAACCTAGAAAACTTCGAAAAACTTAAAAGTTTAATTGGGAGGTCAAGATTTGTGTGAAATGAAAAAAAAGCCAGTTGGTTCGATACAAAAATCCGGTCGAGAAATGGAGATTTCCAAAAAAACACCTATAGATTTAAAAAAAGGGTAGAAACCGATTTGGAAAAACCGAGTCAATCACCCTACTAAATAGATATATGTACATACATATAAATACGAGTACGTACACAAACTTACTACGGTTACATAAACTTAAACAGGTAAGTAAGGCAATAGTACAAATTTGTGGTCTTGTACATAACGATCCTATATATAAGTAGGAGTGTACTTACTTGACCATACACAGCAATATCAGTTATGTTAACCAGTTCAGCCCCATAGTCATAGTCATAGCACTCAATCAAATCTAATTACATAAATATATATATATATATATGTATGTATGTGTGTATTTCAAATATCTTGCATGCAGACATTGTACGCGGAATAAAATAAATTTGTGTTGTTTGTCTAAAATTAGAAAAAAAAAGATGTTTATTTCCACCATAAACCATATATGTATGTACATACATATATAAATATGTACATACTACATACCCATGTACTTATGTACGTAGATAAATGCATAGATATGTACATACATATGTGGAAAATTGAGAAATAATAAAAATATTTTGGCGCTTACACTTTTTCGTGTTTGGCCAAGCTCCTCCAATTTTTGGTGTGCGTCCTGATGTTATTGACAAATTAACGGGCATATAATTTTACGCCGCCTCCGAACTGGAAATGATTCTATGAGAAGCTTTCTCAAAGCAGAGAACACTTGAGGTTTGCTGTTAGAAAATGTTTTCTTATTTGGATGTTGCCCAGACCAGGGACCGAAGCCAGGTCCTATGGAGTAGTAGTACGAACCTCTAACCACTCAGCCACAGCGATCCTACACCCTCATTTATTAGTGTATTTATGGGGTTGTCATAATAAAACAGTTCTTCAAAAAAAGAAAATAAAGAAATCATTTTAGAAAAATAAAAATAGTCTCATTGGGTAAAAAAAATCCCTGACCTTCAAAAACAGAGGGGATTAAAATTTTTTCCTTGCAATGACCTTTTTAAAAAATGTAAATATATGTATGTTCTTGTATTCTATTGCCCATGGTCGAAGGAATCGAAAAACGAATTTTAATTTTTTTTTTAAGTTTGTTACATGGTGTTTTCAGGCCAAAGCAAGGAAATAATAAAAAAATTACTTTTGAAGTTCGTTTTCGAGGCAAGGTAATTTTTATGTCCAACGGAACCTTCAATAAGATGTTTAAAAATAAAATTTTTTTTTTGATTTTTTTGTCGAAAAATAAGCACGTAATAAGCTTTTTAAAAAGCAATTTGTGTGTTTTTCGTTCTTTTGACCATAGAAATACATAGATTCCCTGACACAAAAACAGCAAAAGCTCTATCTCACATAAAAAAGTTTAACCGGAGATTAGTGTCGAAAAGGCTTTGAGTAAATGGCCCTGAAAATCCAAAAATTAGTTTTTGATTCATTATGATGCATTTATGCAGGGGGGAAGACGTCGATAACAATGGACTAGTGTCAACCAGGCTTTAAGAAAATGGCCCTTAGGGCCGTTTGCACCATATCTAGTTAATCCCAATTCTCAGTTAAACATCCCTACAAGAAAATAACTTTTTTCTGACCTCTTCACTAAAACACTAAGGTCGGTGTTATGCAGAAATTTTGTTTGGCAAACTGCGTGCAATTGTTGTTGCAGCAAACTCGGAGAGAGCGAGTTTGGCGACTCTCACAGCAAACTAATTTTGTTTGGTCAAACTGCAGCAAATTCGGTGTTGTCATATACAAAAATTTTAAATTTTGCGCGTTATGTACATCTGAAATTCTCATTTCGTGTTGGCAATAGCCATGAAAACCATAATGAACGTGCAACCCTGTGCCAAACTCGACATAACCACCTCCGAGCAAACTAAGCAGCCGCCATTTAATTTGGCAAACAAAAGTTTGTCTGCATAACACCGACCTAAAATATAACCAATACATAGAAAAACATATGTAAAAATAACCTTACGAATTACAATAAGTAGAAAAGAGACCTTTTAGCACTGCTGGTAAAATCTCCATGTGAGAAAGGGACGCATAGTCAAACACATAGTCACAAAAGAACTGATCAGGTTTTTCATATTCCCCCGAATTTCTGATGAGGAAATGGCAGCATTATTGCATCAGCACAGACCATCAGGTGACCGGTCATTTGCCAGTAAGATTTCTTGTAGGGATTGTTATCGACACTCAGCATATATAATGTGACCAACCGTACTTCTTTCGGAAGTACAGTACTTCTTTTTTAGCTCTTGCACTTCGTACTTCGCAGTACAATTAAATGTACTGCTTTGCAATATTTTGTACTTCGGGTCATGTACTTCTTCGATCTTTCAAGTCGCCGGGGACCGATGCGTGAGGACCGTTAACCTCCCCAAAGCTTGTAGAGTAGTCAGCGCTGCATTCATCTCGAAGGCCGAAAAAGGCTCTCATGTTTCCCCTAGGGATTTTGGCCTGGCTTCGTAGACCTGTACATAAGAAACGTTATTCCTCGTGACTGTCTTTCAAGAACTCAACATGCTTATTTAACGATAAGGTCGGTGGACACCCCCTGCACACATTGGTAAAGTGTCGATATCGAGGGGGCATTCAACAATGTCACTCCAGAGGCAATAGTCAAGTTTTCATAATCTGGCTTTTGAAACCAACATGATAAGGATTATCTACAGGATCGAATACTTAGACTTGATCCTGGATTGGATGCTGTCGTGGAAGCCTTACATTAAGGAAAGGGCAACATGAGGTCTCTCGCCCAAAGTAATTCATTAGCTCTATGAAACCAGATTTAAGGCTATCTTGTTTCACGGAGCCCTTGCCTGGTGAAACTCACTCCAGAAGGCTACACTTGTACAACAACGCGATCGATGAGGATCACCCTAACCGGAATTAGTGGATCATTATGAACCACACCTACATTGGCGCGTAACGTCATATTGAACACTGCGCCTGCGGATATTGCAGACAGAATTGTCACAGAACTAACTGCAAATAGGAGTTATGGAGGGCTTTGACTTCGCCCTGAACAGGTGGAGGTTTTTTCTATCGGAAACTCTCCACCAAAACTATGTTCAAGCTTCCCGACTTCTGCAGTATCTTTCAGGCTGAAATAGCTACCATCAAGGAAGCAGTAGACTCGCTGATAAAGGGTGTGATGGTGCGCTCACAATCCTATCAATCGCGTCGGAGAACTTTATAGGGCCAGTTTTTCAGTGCACGACCGTGGTTTAAACTAAGTTTAAACACGCGATTTGGCTGGTTTAAACCTAGAATGATAGAATACAAGAATGCGCCAATCGAACTGAGAGCAACTGGGTGTGACGTCACTTTATTTTGAGAAAGAGAGTGTAAAGAATAATTTTGAAGAAGAAGAGGAAGAAACGAACAAGTGGTGCGAAATAATGATGTAAAGCTAGGTTGAATTGTACCTACTCTTCAGCTTCTTAAATTTGAACCTACATTCGGTACAAGCACATTATTTTTGGTACATTTGGAGCGTAGTAGAATATTGTTTCATGTAAGTATAAAAATTGTTATGATAGATAGATAGATAATGAAACGAGGTTTGCACCGCGACCTATTGGTCTATTGTGCCCTCCACTCTTCACAATACATTCTCTAAACCTAATTCCCTGAGAAAATTTAACAGTGCCTTAGGAGATAGGGAGATAATGTGCCTAAGCTGTGGCCACATTGAGCCAAAACTTCTCTCACGTCTTCTGCAGACTGCATCACATTCGGTGAGGATGTGAAGAGGTGTCTCGCTGGTAGTGTCGCAGAACCGACACAGGTCACTCGACCATATCCCCAGTTTATATAGATGTCCTCTCAGCCTACAGGGTCCTGTGAGGATACCTGTTATGATTCTAAGCTGCCCTTTTTGGCGGTCAATTAAGCTTTGGAATCTCCTTCTGTTATAGCCTCCCAGTAAACTCTTTGCCTGACGCATTCCTGACGATCTTTCAGTTTAGATCCCTCATAGTGATCCTCTCTCTCCTAAGCTCCTCCTTTAGAGTGTTGGGACCCACTCCTATGAAGGGCTCAGGGCCAACTGGAATGGTGGCTGCCGCCACTCTCGCGAGGCAGTCAGCCGCCTCGTTACCCTCTACTCCCCTGTGACCAGGTACCCACGCTAACTCGATGTTATTGTGTCTACCCAGGGAGTTAAGCTTCTCAATGCACTCCAGGACCAGCGACGATTTGACCTCATAGGATATGAGGGCCTTGAGTGCTGCCTGGCTATCGCTAAGGATTATAATTCTCTCGTTTCTATACCCTCTACCCATGATTGTATCCGCACATAGGCAGATAGCATAGACTTCTGCTTGAAAGATGCTCGGATATTTCCCCATAGGAACAGAAATCCTGGCCCTGGGTCCACAATTCCAGCACCTATTCCTTCTGGGGTCTTCGAGCCATCCGTGTACCAGTGCAGAGTGCAACCCTGAAGTAATGCCTCGAAAGCGGAGACACTCCAGGTCGCCTTACTGCAGAGCTCTCTTTTGAATCTCTTCTCAAAGACTATGGTCTTTCCTATGTCATCTCTAGGTAGCAGGGCTAGTGGGAGCGAGGACCCTAGCTTCCCCATACTCCTAGAGGAAATGACTTTACCTTTTCTAAATCCCTCTCTCGCAATGTTAAGCAGAGTTCTTTTGGCTGCCTGCTCTATGGTTATATGAAGAGGCTCAAGTTCAAGGATTACTTCCAGCGCTGTCGTCGGACATGTGCGCATCGCTCCTGTTATACAGACACATGCCAGTCGTTGTAGCTTGGTGAGCGATTGTCTCACCGTGGCTAGAGTAGTTCTTGAAACGCAGGCTACCGCCCCATAGGTGATCATTGGCTGTACTATCATGATGTAAAGCCATCTCAGGATCCTGGGCGTACAACCCCAGGATTTTCCCGCCAGACGCTTACACACCATTAACGCTTTCGTGGCCCTGGAGGTGATCGCGTCCACATGTTTCTTCCATAGAAGTTTGGTGTCTAAGGTTAGTCCCAGATACTTCACTTCGCTGGCGACGCTAACAGCGACCCCCTCCAAGGTTATGTTCCTCATGACCGGAAGGGCTCTTTTCCTAGTAAAAGGAATGACGGCGGTTTTGGCAGGATTTATGCTAAGTCCTAACTTGTTGTTGTTGTTTGTTATGATACAAAAGGAAGATGTAGTCTACCAACTACCAAAAATGTATGCACATAAAAATACATGTTTGCTGTTTAGGTACGTATATCTACTTTTAGGTATAACTTTTCGGCAAATATGTACAATATGACAATTTAATATTCAGCACTAGTGCGAAAAAATAATAATGTGACGTCAGCGAAAGGGTGGATGCTGTCAAATCGAGAAAAAGAGGCCTAGCGATCCGCGGATTTCCCCAGCCAAGAATAGTATGCATAACTGGGCTATTAATTTAGGTTTAAACTGGCACTGAAAACCTGGCCCTTAATAAGGCTAGTTAAGTGTCGGGTCACATTGACATCGCGGGAAACTGCGGGCTGATGACCTGGCGTTGGAAGGCACCCATAAAACGTTATCCCCAGATAAGGAGCAACTAGGAACCCCTCTGTCCTCCTGCGGTACAATCTTGGATGGCTGGGCCTAGTGTTAGCTCGGCGAGCGCTAGACTATCACGCATACTTTGTACTCTCGATAATGAAATTTCATACTCTACTAAATACCTAATAAAATGGACAAAAGAAATCGATGCTCCTTTGGTGACACAAAAAGGAAAAGAAGACGATTCTATGCTGCAGCTCTTAATACCATGTTCGGACCGACATTGAAAACATGTTTTCGTTGCTACAATTGGTTTTCGACCTAAAACTTGTATTTTCGTCAAGGTAAAATCTATCAAAAGAAACCCAGTTTTCGCTGAAAACTACTTGAACTCACGTTCCACTCATTCCAATCGGTGTCTTCACTAGTATTTTAGATATATTTATCGAAGTGGAAGTCATATTTTATCAATTCTAATAGGCTAGCTGGGATTTATAGTCAATTGGCTGGCCAAATTAAAATATGAACAAAAGAATATGGTTGCTAATGATAGATAAATGAAAGACAAAGATTTTAATTTTGTTTTTTCGTAGCAAAACTGTAAACAAAGGATGAAAGAAATGGTAACGAAAACATTAACAGCCGGTGCGAACAGCTTTCAGTCCACACTCCCAAAACTCGTTTTCAAAATGTTTTCGTTGTCGGTCCGAATATGGTATAAATTAAACTTGCCAATTTGAAGTTTTCCATGTTAAAAAAAAAATACAATTGTTAGATGAGTGAATACCGCTCTTTATGTATTTTGCAACGCTGTCAAAGTGACAGATGTACCGTGAGCAAAATTGTTTTTTTGATAGTTGAGCAGTGTTGCCACTATTTCTCTTTTCCGACCAAATTTGGTCGCTTCTTTTTCATTTGGTATGTTGGTAGGCAAAGCAAGATTTTGGTCGGATGGTTGAATTAAGTTTTCTAAGTTCTTTATTATTAAAACATATATTTCAAACATGATTTTGCATATAAATATTTGTCAATAGTAAATTTTAAACATTTGCCAATCCTGCATTTAAAAATAATAAACCTAATTGGTTTGGCCACTGATGGAGCCATTGTTATGGCTAGAGACTTGGACGGAGATATAAGATACAAAACTTTTACAAATAATAACACCAGCTAAGGTAGTTTCAATAGAAGATTTACCAACTTTATCTCTTTTCTTAAAGTTTTATTCAAAACATTTAATCTTAAAACAAAAAATGAATTTTATGCGTTCAGAATGTTTTTTTTTGTAGTTGAAATTTATTTGGTAGGTTGTAAACGATTTTGGTCGGTTTTGGTAAAAAAATTGGTAGGGGAAAAATTGTTAGTGGCAACGCTGTAGTTGAGTAATTGTTTGGGTTTTTTTATTCTCATTTTAGTAACATCAGCACGTGCGTCCACAGAATCCACATAAGAGTATAAATTGTAACTCCAAGAACATTTGCAAGGCTGAATAGCGAAAAATCCGTCAGGCATAAAATACAAGTATATTTAGTGTTTGTACTAGTGAGCGCGGGAAAAGTGCAAGTGCGTTTGTGGTTATATCGAGGTGGTTGTAGGACAAGTAGAAACAGCAGCAGCAGGTAGTTGTTGGAACAATATTGGGTAACAATAGCAGCTGGAGCGGGAATTGAGGGAACGAAAACAATATGTTCTATTTGATTGGATTGGGACTTGGCGACCCGACTGACATTACAGTAAAGGGCCTTGAAATTGTAAAGCGCTGTGCGCGTGTGTACCTGGAAATGTATACTTCTATACTTGGATGCCAACAGGAGGAACTGGTATGTGGGTTCTAATCATGTATTGATTTTTTATAAAATTTTATGTTTTTTATTGCAACAGGAAGCCTTTTATGGACGTCCACTTCTGTTAGCAGATCGCGATCTCGTTGAACAAGGTGCAGATGAAATTTTGTCTGGTGCTGCCGAAGAAGACGTTGCATTACTTGTAGTTGGAGATCCGTTTGGTGCCACTACACACACTGATTTCATACTTCGGGCCAAAGAGAAAAAAGTACCATACAAGGTGGTTCACAATGCGTCCATTATGAATGCAATTGGGTGTTGTGGTCTACAGCTTTATAAATTTGGAGAAACTGTGTCGATACCATACTGGGATGAGACATGGAAACCAGATAGTTTTTATGACAAAATTAAATTAAATAGGCTGCATAATATGCACACGCTATGCTTGCTGGACATCAAGGTTAAAGAACCAACGCCAGAGTCCCTCATGCGTAGGCGGAAGGAATATCAGCCTCCTCGTTTTATGACGGTACCTGAAGCTGCGCAGCAATTGATGTCGATTGTTGAGAAAAAGGATGCACTGGAACGAAATACTATTCTAAATGAACTATCGCTATGCGTCGGATTGGCGCGTGTTGGTCATGAAAGCCAAAGAATAACTGTGAGTACATTGAGGGAAATGACACAAACCGATCTCGGCGGTCCCTTGCATTCACTAGTGATACCAGCTAAAGAAATGCATCCACTTGAAGTGGAATTCTTGCAACAATACACAACATTAAAATTAGAGGACTACAATCACTGAAAACATCTCCAGGTTACATAGACAATTTTTGACATCGCATATGGGTACACTAAAAGTTATTCCACTATGATTGCATGATTTCAAAGAATAAAAAACTTTCCTTACTACAGCAGCTCTTACGCATCAACAATCAAAAGCAGATCCTCTTAATTTTAATTAAATCTAAGAAATGATTGCTGTTAAATGGTATTTCACTTAGTTGTTTTTATAACTACATACATATGTATGTCGTACTATATGGTGAAAAAATGTTGTGCATTTGTTGAAATTAATTGATGTATGTAAGTCTAAACTCGTTATAAGCACAGTTCAACCTTTCGAGAAAGTTTTATAACTTCTCAGTGTATTGTAATTCATAAAAGGAGAATAAAAATATTTTTTCCTACGTAAACTCTTTTAAATAACTACTTACTAAAGCGAAATTTTTACTGCAAAAACTTTTACGGTTTTCCAGGACTAAAAACTGAATTTTTTTTGTACATATGCATATCCTTGTTTTTCAAAGTAACTTTAAAAATGTGTATGATAAAAATTGTCGATGCATTGCTGGAATTCGTAACCGTCTTTGGTAAACGAAATATCTATTTAAATATCCAGAAGTGTAAAACACTAAATATGCTAAAAACATAAAGAACGTCAGTAGGCTTTTTCAAAGGGCCACTGTTTCTGAATATCCGCATGCCTATTCCGGTATCCGACTTATGCCATCCGCTCTTGCCTCGAGGGTGTGAATCGAATTAGATTCGAGCGAATGACATCCGTCGGATGCCGTAATAGGTACAATAAACTGCTTCCAAATGGTTTTTTATGCGCAGGTTAATGAAGGGGTTAGCAGTGCCCTATTATTCCGCAGGGCCTGGGTTCGAGCCCAGTATCCGGCTAACATCAAAAACAACAAAATGATTCTTTCTAAGAGCGGACGGCCCTCGGCGGGCAATGGCACATCTCCCGAGTGTTTTTCTGCCATGAAAAGCAATTTCTCATTAAAATTCAGTCGCCGTTCAGAGTCGGCGTTAAACTGTAGGTCACTCCCCTTTTTGTGGCGAGATCGATGAGCACGCGACAAAGCGGAGGAGTAGTAGTAGTACGATTCGCACTGTTATGAAAAGCGAGCGTGAAGAATTAGATTCGTATGACAGTGCGAACCGGATTAGATGCGTGCGGATGGCATCCGTCGGATACCAGAATCGATATGATGTTTTGGTACCATATTGTTGGGTTATTGGCATATTTCAACCTTTGTGGTAAGATTCGTTGAAATACATACATATATGTGTTGTATTATGACTGTCATTTATTATTTCTATTTAAAAATATAAACCACGAGCACGGCGGCCAGAACCTTGACGGTCGTAGAGTACATTAAATTTATTAACAAAGTGGTTCATATCATTACAACCTTTGGTCATCGCGCCTAAGTAACTGATAAGGGTAACGTCGTTGCATTGAGTATACAGCTCTTCCTGAAAAACAGGACCCTTCATTACAGGCAGCCGATGACTTAGTGCGTACGCATCGCGCAATATTTCTTGGTTAGCCGGCAATTTTCCATCTTCGACATCTTTAATATACTTTAAAACTATTTGAATACGTTTATTTAACATTTTTATAGCGCTATCTTGTGCCACTAAATGTTCAGCAACAACAGACTTCTCTCCAGTTTCGTTAGTAGACATACGCGCTACATGATCAACGCCTATTCTTTCTGCTTCTTCGGTGGCCAATGTGTATGTGAGTGGAACAAACAACATTGTAGCTTCTCCGTCTACTACTTCAATTGTAGATTCATACAGCTTCAGTGGAAGTTGGTCAACGCTTCGGGACAATGGATTTAATTGCAATAGAATAGGGCATTCATTAATTTCAGCCATTTGTTTTTGGATTTGAATATCAAGAAGAGTGGGAGCCTCGTCAGTGGTGTACCAGCCAATAAAATCTAAATCGCTAAATACCTACAAAAGGACAATATAAATAGACTTCTGACTACAGATATACATTTTTACGTACTTGCTTGAACTGCTGCTCCTTTGTTTGATAGTATTCTCGATTGATGATGACATCTTCTCCCACCCTGTCCACCCGTAGTTCAAACGAATTCATCACTTCGATGTTACGTCCTTTTTGTTTGCCTATTAAAGCCCCAAACACTTGACAAGTTTCACCAGCTTGTGCTCTTATGCGAGTCCAATGTTCGGAAATATTTAATATTACCAAAGGATGAAGAGAGGCAGTAACTGATGGTACCGTGCCTGGTCCGGCCATAATGCTGGCGTTGGACGTAGCCGCTCTGCATGTTGGATGGTGGCTGCATGACGGTCCAAAATTTAAGTTGGCGTCGGAATCAATGTCCATATGCTCCATTTCAGTAGTTTATTTTTATTGAATATAAAAATTGCAATTTTCACAAAAGCCGCAATATTGTTGTCAGAACAGGGTAGCCAACTGTTTTTGACCTGAACACCATCAGCTGTAAAATGTACTTTTTTTCTGGGTGAACGTTGCTTAAAGCTGGGTCTACACGGCTGACATATTTTATTGTCTGTAAAGTTTTTAAACCCATATTTCGAACGAGTATGTACAAGGCGAATTTATATAAGGTGGTGTTACTAGCTCAGCTGATTTTGTGTATGTGTTTCGCCGCACGGCTTCTGATATCAAATTGAAAAATTTTTTTTTGAATTTCTACACACACTCTTACAGATTTTGACAGTTTATGCCGCCAAAGCAAAAACAAAATACATGTAAATTTTTGTTTTTGTACTCCTGCTATCACCTTATATTAATTCGCCTTGAGTATGTACATGATTGAAAATACGGCTTCCCAAAAAGTTTAGTAGGCTTCAATATTTTCAGAATCTTATATGTGTTTGATCAGGTCAGTTTGACACCGGTTTACTGAGCTGGCATCGACGCATTTCAATAGCTCAAATTAGGTTAGATCAAAAAATAAAAATAAAATAAATTTAATGCAAGTTTTTTATTTTATTCATTAGCAGGACATTACTAAAAATTCTATTGAAATAAGGATCAATTCCTCAAAATTTTGAGATCAGTCCGAAGGAACGGTCGATTTTCAATCAAGAATTTTTGAGAAATTTTGACAAAATTCTTTGAATTGCTCAAGGGATGTAAATAGCTTTCATTACATCCCTTGAGCAATTCAAAGAATTTTGTCAAAATTTCTCAAAAATTTTTGATCAGAAAAATTTTGACGCAACTTAAAAATTTACTTTGAAATCATTACAAAAATGTCAGTCGTGTAACCAAGCCTAACGGCTACATTAAATCTAGACTTCATAATTGGGGAAGGACTGTCACCCTTTGGGGAAGCGGTATGCTGTTACATGATTTACATGAAGAAACTCACGTAAATGGTTCATTCAAAATTAGAATCTCACTTAATTTAAGAATATTCTTATCGTAATGGTTTAACAAATACATACATAAACTTATAAAAGGGAATATGAAAATATAAAAATTGTTAAAAAGGCATTGCTCAATAAATATTTCGATTTATTAGACAAGAGTTTGTACAAGTATCTTCATAATGATTGAATTTGCAGTTCACCCAACGCTATTTATCACGTGGTTTTAAAAAAGTTTTCACGGTAATATTTAAGTTCTTCAATACTTTCTTTTAAGTCATCTAAGCTTCTATGTAGTAAAAGCTTTTTTGGCGCAGAGTGCAGAACATCTAACCTCCATCGTCTACATAGCTCCTTAACGCTTGAAACATCGATAATACGGTAATGCAGATATTCGTCCACTGTAGGCATTTGTTGTCTTAAGAACAGTCGATCCATATATATAGAACTCCCTGCTAAAGGGCATTTACCCTTTGGGACATGTTTTTGCAGATAATCCAAGATTAAGCTCTCCGCATGGTCAGGTGTAATATCCGATTTTAAACATTTTTGTATCAAACCCGATTCATTATGTTGCTTTGTGCACCACTCGTTCATTTGTTCAAAAGTTTCTTTGGGGTAGTTTATAGCAAAGTTCAGACCCTCTGTTAAAATATTAAGGTCTTTGTCTGTAATTAAACAGGCAACCTCGATTATTTTATCCGTAATCGAATTCAGCCCTGTCATCTCAAGATCCATCCATACAATGGCTGTCGAGTCTGCTAGCAATTTTGGTGTGCTTTCCATTTTAGCTGCTATATTAGAAGCAAATTGCCTATGACCAGATTTGGATTTCAGTGCAAACGCTGTGAGCTCGAAAATGTTTCCACGTGAAAGAAATTTGATTGTTTTGTGCACCATATTGATCTTGTGTTATGAAAAAGAATCAAAGATGGAGGAAAATGACAGTCTGCCAGAGTTGTCACAACCACGAACATCAGGCTGCTCTAAGCTGCCATATCTTGAACAGCGCTTTCTAAGTCCATGCCTTCACAGGCATCAGTATTTATAGCTTGATATACATCATTGAAGATAAAACATTGCTCTTGCCATGGTTTATCGTATTTTGACAACTACTGGGAAAACAATTAGCGTTGGTATATCAAAGAAAGAAAGCTGTTATCTAATTAATTGTCCATTTAAATTTATTTTGCATTTTTCATTGGACAGAAACTCTTATCCACCAAAATCGTTTGATCAAGTGATAATATTTGGTTAAACAGATTTCCATACAAATTTGGCAGTTAACAAATATTTCCACCCCGTCTCACCGCGGAAGAGAAAGTTACCGATTGGCACAGGCCCTAATTCGAATATTTTCTGTTCCCCAAATGTAAAAAATATACAGCCTGTATCGAAATTATAGCTTTGTGATCAATCTGTGTTAATTTGACGTTAGCGTGCGGACGGAACTTGTAGGTAAATAAAAAATTGATATCGTGAAGTTTTCTAATTTTCTTGAGAATCGTTTATTGCGATATTATTTAAAAAAAGAAAATAAAATCATAGAGTTAATGTGCGAATAATCCCTTAGCAGTTTTATTACTGAAGCTGGAAAATGTCTTTTACTGAACGCCCCACAACATCGAAGGATAACTCCTTTGATTCTTTCTATACGGAGGTAAGTAACTGGAATTTACCAAAAAGAAATTGTATCAATAAATGCGTGGGTATGTAGTTAATTACTGATAATAATTCACCGACAGAAGGATGTGTCCACTCTTTTGTAAAAAGTAATGATATGTTGGCCAACTAAATCGATGGCGCAATCCATTTATAGCTCTACACATACATACTTTTTTACTGAATTCAACTGAAATTAATCACATTTTGGACATTTTCGCAGGTTAAAGAAATTGAAAAACGCGATTCTGTTCTAACCTGTTCTCAACAAATTGATCGTTTACTTCGTCCAGGTTCCACATACTTCAATCTCAATCCATTCGAGGTGCTACAAATAGAGCCTGAGGCCACTGTTGAAGAAATAAAGAAACGCTATCGCACTCTCTCCATATTGGTACATCCAGATAAGAATCAGGACGATAAAGAACGCGCACAGACTGCTTTTGATATCATAAACCGGGCATGGAAGACACTGGAAAATGATGTAACACGCAAAAAGTGCTTGGGCGTGTACGAGGAGGCGAAAGAAAGGACCGATCACATGGTAAGCCGTAATGCTAGTAAACGTATTTATTAGAAATTATTCTTGATTTCTTTTCGATTACAGATTGCAGAAAAGCGAAAGAAGTTGCGAAAAGAGAGTAAAGGATTCGAAAGTATCCCTGAAGATGATCCAGCAAAGTACAAACATGCTGTATATGTAATGGTAATGAAACTATTTGCTGACATGGAACGCCGTCGACAACAATTAGATACGCGAGATCAAGAGGAACGCAAACGTAAACGAGAAGCCGAAATAGAAGAAGAAGAGAAACGCAAAGCCGACACAGAATGGCAAAAAAATTTTGAAGAATCGCGCCAAAGTCGTGTAAATAGTTGGCATGATTTCCAGTCGGGAGCCAGTAAATCGAAAAAGTCTAAAAAACAAAAACGCATGCACGGCATGATTGTTCCACCTAAATTTAAACCTGAGTCACGATAAATGCAATTCAATAATTTCGTAAACATTTTTTGTATAAAATAATTTTTACAAGTAATGTTTAGTTTGTGAACCATAATAAAGGTTGACTTATGTATGTATATTGTATACGTAAACAGGCCTTTATTCATAAAATAAGTATGAATATAATGCTCATTAAAGATGTCATTTAGTTGTCGCACAATATTATGTTAAAAAGCGAGCGTCTCGTACAGCTTGAAATAAACGCATTTTGTAAAATACGGCTGCCTGAAAATTAAATCCAACTAACGTTTGAAATTTAAGTTTAGTCATAAAAGTTTTATTGACGGACTTCACAAAAAGCAGAAGGTTATCAATTCGTGGGAATATTTTTTTGTTTTGGTTGTTTTATGTACCGATTTCTTAAATTCATTTTTTAAAGGAAAGGTGTTACCTCACAGGCTGTCCCATACTAATTTGGTTCAGATTCGAACAAACGATCATGAAGAAATTAACGACAATCTTAAATTTTTATATGAGAATTGAAGTCGGTTTTGTTTTTTTTTGTTAAAAATTACTTGTTTTCATTATACCGTTGCGAAATCAATATATAATTATATTGCTGTGTACAAACTTGCTGTGAAGACTATATCTCGTTTAATGGCAGTAGATGCATCCTCCATTTTGGTCTGTAACGCTGGATTGCCAATACGTATGGCGGCAGTTTTAACATCGCGAAGAGTCTCATCCAATTGCTGTATGCAACGTACTATTATACCTTCTTGCACTTCAGTTAATTTCATTATTTCTGCAAAAGGCTAAAAAATTTTTATTAAGAATTTCATCAAGTTGTTTTTTTTTTTAATCTGTAAATTATTTTTATTTAACTTCGTTCGGGAAAAGCAAAGGCTATATACATATAATACCTTATTACGAGCCCATTCGTACACAACTTCTAGTAATCCAAAATTGAGGCGATTATCTGATTCTATGACTGTTTGATGTCGCAGTTCTTCAGCTAAAATGGCGTCATTGATTTCTTCGAATTCTTTCACGCACTATATAGATAGATAATCAATAACAATATACATAAATAATGCAATTGAATTACTTACTTTTTTTAGCTTTTCCGGAATCACCGGTTCTCCCTGGATTTTTCCTTGAAATACTAAACCCGACAGCAATGCTGCAATTTCCGCCGGTTCGAGGTCATTGAACATATTGCACAGTATTAGTTCGGTTATTAAGAGCTCATTTTGTCCCATTTCACAAGCAACTTTGCCTTTTAGGGTAACTTCGAAAAATATAATTGTTTTAGAAACAAAAAATATTTATAATATTATAAACACACTTACCCTCATCTAAATCATCGATATACTTAAGTGAACGCAAAACTTCCAATTTATTGCAATAATCTGGATAAAGAGAGAGATTTTTAGTCGAATTTTTAAATTTCAATTCTTCGATACGGCGCTCCAACACTTTGCGTTCATAAACAATCGCGAATTCTTGTTCAAACCCAGCAATATTTGTATGAGGCAATACAGCGAGTAATTGTTTCCATAAATGTTCCGTGTATCGTATTTGAGCCAACTCATTCTCCTCACTTATGTTAACCTCTTTGGACAGATTCATGAACTTCAATGTTTCCGGCTTGTCTATATAGCTTTGGTTGAGCTGTTGTAATTCACTTACGGCCTTTACCACTGTTGCACTTGGCGGCGAATCTTTGAAACGTTCGATTTGACGTTGCTCCCAATTACGTATTATCACTTCGCCATCGATTTTGATGGTACTCTTTGTAACTTCTACTATGTCAGCGGCTTTTACGTCGATTACGGTATGTCCCCCAATGCCCTCGGGCTGGAAGAACTTGTGCTGCGGCGTCAGCGATACTATTTTGTAATACATTTCACCGCGTTGAAGGGTATCCTTTTCAAATTGATCGCTTTTTAATTGCTAATGTAGTCGGTTAGTTGTTAAAAGTATAATACCTTTTGATCATTTGTATTGAATTGATGTTCCAATAGTAATAATCTATAGATTGTATCCTTCCCTGTTGTAGATTTTATAGAGAGTATTACACCCAACTTATTGTAGTGTCTGTCTTGTGTCACTACAAGTACGCGACCTATTTTCAGTTCTTTTGCTATTTTAGGTTGTGATAATAAATATTTCTACATAACAAAAGAATAAATAAATAAATAAGAAAAACAAGTTAAGGCAAAAGAACAAAGAATTTCTTAAATATACCATAAGACGCTGTCTTTCCGTAAGGTAGTCCTGCGCTAGTTCGTAAAAGCGACATAGTGGTTGTAGGTGTTCACCTAAAACGGGCAGTTGTGAAAATTTGTCTTGTGCCACTTGTAGTTGTTTCGTTTGCATTGGTATTTGCAGTTTTTGATTAAACTCCTTAAAAGAGAACTGTATTATGTCTTCAACTTTGATACTCTCAATGCGCAAGCAAGTCAAAATTACGGCATATCGCAAAATAAATTGCGATTGTAATTTTTCCGGCTGACCTAAAATCATTGAGCGTAGTTCCATCGAAGGCGGGACCTGTGCTTTACACAACAATATTACCGTCCCGTTATCGTCGTGACCACGGCGACCTGCGCGCCCAGCCATTTGAATATATTCCCCTGGTTTCAGATTTCGAACTTCAAGTCCATCATATTTTCGATGTGAATCGAAAATAACTGTACGTGCTGGCATGTTAACACCCATTGCAAATGTTTCCGTAGCGAAGAGTAACTTTACTAAACCAGATTGAAAAAGCATTTCCACGATCTCCTTAAGTATTGGTAGTATCCCACTGTGGTGAACACCTATCCCTCGCTCGAGGGAATCTTTCATTGTTAGCACTTGTGGTAATTGGCGATCCGGCGGTTTAAGTTTTTGCAAACATTGTTGGAAAAATTTTTGCGCAGATCCTTTTTCGCGAGCTGTGTTTAAGTCAACTGATTGTAGAGCCTGAAATCGTATTTAGAAACAATTAAGGCATAATAGACCGGCAATAAAATACATACCTGCAAATTGATGTCGCAACGATTGCGTGATAGTGTAAACGCTACAACAGGCATTTTGTTATTACGCTTCAGAAAGTCTATTAGCCCGATCCACATGTTTTGATCTTGTTTAGCGCTTACAAAGTTTTTCGCTGTCGGACCGCCGCTACCCTGCGCTCCTTTTGACTTGGATTGCATTTCTCTCTTGCGTTCTACCGCCTTTTCGTAATTTTGCTGCAGATACTTACCATCTGCGCCAACTAATAAAAATATATCATCTTTGCTCTTGCCACCACTCCCGGTGTAAAGATAATGCATAAGAGGAACTGGACGTTTAAGGGTACTTATAACATATACTTTTCTTTTTTT